CTTTGCCCCTGCCGGGTTTCATGAAGAATACGTTACTTCCTGGTCGTGCAAAAGCAATCAATAAAACAATCAAGTCGACATCTTCTCCTATTATTGTGACAGTGGGGTGTAGGGCAGCTTTTTCTAACCCACATCTCACTATTGTGCCATCAGCATCCCCTGTAGCAACTACTGTTTCGATTCCCCTTGCTATCATTTTTTCACTGAGGAGTTGTATGAGCCTAGTTTTCTTCTTATTATTAGCTAGAAAATGTCCCTGCTGAACAGTGATGAATGTCACTATCATTGAAATGTATGTCGACTGAAGTTTTCGTGAGACCCCGTCTCTTTTGCTCGGCTCGTTTTGTATTGTTGGGGTCACCATGCATAACCATCGAAAACGACAGTACAGTTTTCACCGTAATGTTTGATAACATATGATATATATTGATCGCAAAGTACTAGAATCTTAGTACCCACATTATTCCATTTTACGCGGTGAAGGAGGAAGCCCCCATCTATTACATTGGTACTCGTTTTAAAATCTTGAGTTGCAATATCGTCCTCTGAAAAAGAATCGTAAAGAGAAGCCTTCTTTCCTTTTCTCATTCCTCCTTCATTGAAGAGAGCCATCGGGAATGGAGACAATTCATATTCCATAAGCTGTGCTACATCTTCATCACTTTTTTTTCGCGATAACAGTTCTTTGGAAAATAGTCATGGGGTCTACAGTCACTGTTTCACCGTTCACCTTCACGGCATTGCTCATACTAGCCAATGACAACACCACATTCTTTTTAGACTGTTTTATGTCACTGAAATTACAGCCAACAAAACTTTGCATGGTTTTGGTACCAATTTCTAGAGCTTGATGACTATTTATTTTTGAGTTTCCGATTACGCCTGTCGACAAAGACATAAGTGAATTGATTTTCGGAAAAGGAGAATGGTCATTAAACCATTCATGAATTTTCGCCCTGTCTTGTCCATCTCTATTTTGCCGTGATACCCGGAAATCAACATACTGCTCTCCACTAGATGAGAAGCAGTCTATAGGTATACATTTCATGAAACGCAGGACAATAGTGACACAACAAACATGAATTGCATATCAGTAAACTCTATTTTTTATACTTTTCGATTTTTGTTTCCCCTGTATCTCAGAAAATATCCATTGTAGACAACAAGTGAATAGGAACTTTTTTATAGAAAATTTTAAGTAGTCCAATTTTATATACCTATATTTTTTCGCTAGAGGTCACGATTTTCGAATTATTCAAGAATTGATTGAGAAAATGACCTTCAAACACTCCCCCACCATCGCGCTCATCCCCTACGGGTCAGGACTTTTAGTATGTTGTTAATGACACTTCCCTTTACCACTATACAAATTTTTGCGACTACACGATTTTTTTCCTCTATTCAGCCTTTTTTAGTGTTCGTTGATTGAACTACAAGCCAGAGACAACGTGTTGATATTTTCAATGATGTTGCCGAACAACAATACCACTCGTCCTAACGGATTCGTGGTGTTGCTCGGCAACAAAATTTCATGAACAATGAAGTAACAGAATTATCTCGAATATTCAGAACAAATTGATGAGAACATTATTATGTTCCACATGGCAGGAAAGCAGTTAGCATCGGCTACGACTATGAAACGCTAGTAAAACAAATAACGATAACAGCCAGTATAATTCATATGAAATCTCATTCGATATCACTAAACCATCAATTGGAAAATAAGTATTCAGACTCCTTGCAGTTGACCTAATAATTCAATTCAGTGATTCCTTTCCGTTATCTTATTCCACTTCAGTTAATGGACGCTCTTGCTCTCAGCTTTCCACCAAATTATCATATTCTCTATCGAGATGCAGGTAGCGCCCTCATCTAATAAACATAAACTCCCAAATTTGAACATTTCTCGTCGCGAACTAATGAGTTTCGGAGTTTTCTTGTAACCCTCGAGATAAAACAAAAGTTTGTACGAGATCAACATCATGTCCCTTAAATTTTACATCTTATCTCATGTAGACGATGGAACTCTATACAGACACGGATTCAGAAGTTTGCTGGAAAATTTTCATGATATAGGATTCAGGTACTATCGGAATAATAGTAAATAAACATTTTCCTACGACCACCTATGAAAACAGCACAAAACACATTGATTTGTTATTGAGAAAGTGACTCGTTTCACTATGACAACATATAACAGTTAGAAAGTTCGAAAGTAAAACTCACATGGGTGGAAATATTCGAAAATCGCACAGTTACAGGGTCTATAGATTATGATGTACCGGTGGATGATTATTATGATGAATTTTTGTAAGTTAAGTTATGGTCAAGTTAATGGGAAGTTAGTGTCGATTTAACATGAGTTATTGTCGTTAATGTTGACGTAATGTTAAGTTGATGAAAAGTTGAAATCAAGGTAATTTCAATTGAGAGTTGAATTAATGTCAATGTATTGGCAATTTAGTGATTAATGTGAATTTTATGTCTATTTGATATATGTTGAGTTGATGTTGAATAATTATTGATTTGGTATTAAGTTGATGTTAAGTCAATGTTAGGTTGATTTTGAGTTGATGTTGAGTTGATGTTGACTTAATGTTAAGTTAATTTCAAGTTAATGTCAAGAAACTGTTGAATTTGAGTTGATGATGTTAAGTGGATGTTGGGTTGATGTTTAGTTATTGTTGAGTAAATGTTAAGTTCATATTGAGTTGATGTTAAGTTTACGTTCAACTAATGATGTCATTTGAATATTGAAGTAAAATTAAATGATAATGATAATGATATCACCTTCATGTGATCGAATATGATTAAAAACATGATCCCTACTCTTGTCTTATAAACACTCATGACATAATATAAATATTTGTGGTCGTTGGAAAAATAGTGAACAAAACTCGTTGGAAAGTGCATTTTCTGCGCTCGTTTCGTTTCATCAATATATCACTTTCCACACTAGGTATGTAATATACTATTATTTTGTCTTCAGTCACTTGGAACGCGCGAAAGGAAATTCCTATAATGTTCGTGGAACATCGTGCGTAACTAGAGCGGATAGGGAGAGGAGGTTGGTGTTAGAATTTTTCGTAACTTTTGGAGGTTGAAAGTTCATGAAATTGTAGTTTCTACTATGAGATCAATCTTATTGGAATGGATATGAGTTATTTATACACCAAGGTAGTAATTTATATCATTATTACCCATCAAGGACCAATATTATTTCCCGAGGCTCCAGCCGAGAAGCATAAAGTCCCTTGGTAATATCATTCTTCACTACCAAGGCGTATATTGATTTTTTTCCACCACCAGTGAAATATTCCACTCATTAGAGTGCTGTGAAATTGAAATATGGAACTATTGTCACTATGGAAGCACTTCATTTCTTTTCTGATCAAAATCTAGTAGCTATGATCATAACAACATATTATGACTATTCGTTATTGATAACTACGTACTAGATTCGAGTGACATATTCGCTGAAGAACTTCGTACATATATAGAGGGGGTTCAAGTAGTATACATTTTCAAAATCGCCCTGTATCTCAGAAACGGAAGTAGTTATGCAGAATTCGATTAGGCCATCTTGAGTTTCACAAAATAGCGGTACATGAATGCAAAAACCGCAAGGTTCTATCTCCAAAGACAACTGATGTATCACGCGAAAACATCGAAAAATAGACACACTGTACCTGGTGTAAGATTCTGCTGGCGTGTCTGTGGTTATGAAAAAGCATTGTAATGTTATTTGAAAGGATACAAACGAACATTTCAACTTTTGGTGAAGGAACAATTTGAAATATTGGTGGCGGAACTTCATTCAACTCTCAAACTATGATATATTTTATATGAGTTCGAGTGATCGGAAATTGAGGCACCTTGATTGGACGAACCTTTGAATGTATCATCAGATTCATAGCGCATGAATAGTAAATTCTATCTGCATGATAAAGAGATTTTTCACATTGTTTTGGATATTTTGAAAAGAAATCAACAGATCGTTCAGTATTGCAACAAGACGAATAAGACATCTCAATTCTGGAACTTATATTTCTCTCTTTCGAATGACTCTTTTTATATTATGTAGATGTTGATAAATAAAAAATTGGATGGAGTATAATTCAACATAATTTTATAATATTTCATCCAGATTATGGCGGCTTCGCCATTTCGAATACTTGGAAGGCTGCAAAAACTCAAATGTTCTTTGGATTGCGTGGTTGCTAAACAAACAGATAAGATTTTAATTTGATGTATTCTATATGGTCCATTCTATCTCACATCCATTGTTTTCATTTTCTTAATCTCTTGAAGCGCACGAAAGAAAATTCTTATGTTCGTGGATCATCGCGTGTCCTTGGGGAGGATAGGAAGAGGGGGTGAGTGTTGGATCTTATTATCAACTCTTGGAGGTTATAAGTTTGGGAAATACATCTATTGGCAAATAATCTCTAAGCTTCGCCTTTCTATAGACGACCAAGCTATGGTAGAAGGTTGTTCGACATTTTCCAAAGTTAACGACAAAGGGATGTGATCACTGGGCTTGTCAAAGTGATGAGTCGGCGAATTTTCTGCAGTGTTCTAATAGGGTCAAAGAGTTGGTGACTGTGGCATCACCCACCAGGCGAATGGCTCTCTTCTAGATGGAATCTGAGAGCATCAGCGTATGTTTAAGTGCTGAACCCCATAAAACATACTAGGTTTATGCAATTTGAGAAAACTGTATATTTCATGAGATGAGCATCCTTTAATTTGATGAAATGCATACTTATATTCTTGGATCAAGCAATGCATTTATAAAAACAAAATAATACGCTTCTGTGAATTGGATACTGGGTAGGAGAATATATTGCAATAATATGACACTATCTCCTTGAACCTACCAGATTTTACGTCCCGAAAGAATATGCTTGATTCGAAGAAAATATATAATTTTCAAAAGAAGAATTTTTATTCTGTGTGTATACCTCATGGATGATTATTGGATTTTTTTTTTCCAGTAGACCTCCCGAAGAACTACCCGAAGCCCATTTCCACGTTGAGGAGCACATCAACGCCTGAACATGTCCTGCCCGTTCCGTAGACCCTCGTTTTCGACTCAACAAAATGGCGGAGCCGCTTTTAAGCGGAGCCTCACTTCGAGACAAGACTCCATCCAAGTGGGCGGCGAAGAGCCGCAGGAAGAGGAGGACAAGAACACGTTGACCTTGAAGCACCTCAATGAAGCCATACTCGTACTCACCTCGCCGACGGTGAGTACAATATTTCCATAGAATATTCCACTCTTGTTCTCGGGAACCAATCCGAATCGACCATTTTCTCGGTTTCTCCTGTATTACAGCGATATATATATATTTCTTTGAAGTAATATTTGATATATTATATATATTCTATATGGAGTGGTCGACGGAGTTTCATCTGACTCTCTCATCATAAATGCTGGTGTTCCGCAAGGATCAATTCTAGCACCAACACTATTTCTACTATATCTACATCAACGATTTGTTGGGAGCAAAAGTACACAGTTTCGCGGATGATAGTACCCTTTATACCGCCTTCTCTTCCAAGGCTCCAATACCAGCCAGGCAAATGAGAAACTAACGAGGGAGAAATGTTGATATCATAAATATCGACTTGGCAACAATTCTTGAATGGAGATCCAATAACTTGGTAGATTTCAATGCAAACAAAACACAAGCATGCCTTTTCTCTAGAGAAGCCGATCTCACTGTGCCCAACATTGTCAGGAGTAACCATACTTTTGAAGACATCCATTTCGATGCTTGGAATAACTATCAGCAATAACCTTCCTTTGGAAAACCACGTGAGATCAATTGCTGAAAGTGCATCTCCGAAACTTGGTTTTCTGTTTCGAGCCGGAAGCTATTTCACTCCCAGTCAGCTGCTTGTGATCTATAAGGCACAGATCCGACCTGTCTTGGAATACTGTTTCCATATTTGGAGTGCAGCACCCAAAAATACCCTGAAACTGTTGGTAGTAGTAGTAGTAGTAGTAGTAGTAGTACTGTGGGGAGGCTGTAGATAGGCAAGTAGGCCCCCATGGGTGTTTTTTGCCAACCCCTGCTCTCCACATATCTACACATACCTCTTTTAGTTGTCCTTTTCGAACCTTCCCGTCCTTCTGATGGAGGTCAGGATGTCCGTCCACTCTAATTCGACCAAATCTTCCTGTTGTAGTTTATCTATTCCAAAGATTTCGAATCTCATCCTTCCATACGCCTCACACTCTCCGAGGAAGTGAAGTGATGTCTCCTCATGAAACTGTTGGATTCTGTTCAAAAAAGGGCAATTCGTCTCGTGGGGTGATGCCTTGCTCACAAATTCACTCACTCCTCTGGAACACCGTAGAAAAGTTGGCGATCTGGCTCCGTTTCCATGGACGATGTTCTTCTGATATATCAACAATTGTTCCTCCCTTGGCAGTCCCCGCGAGATCAACCCGTCGAGTTGAGGCTTCGCACCCCTTCGTGGTTACTTTGGAGACTTGCAGAACATCTTCTTCCAAAGACTCGTTCATCCAACGAATAGCGAGGCTCTGAAGCACATTGCCATGGGAGGTGTTTTCCGAGGCATATGACCTCCAGAAATTTGAGAAGAACACCAATTCCTACTTCATATCCTTTGGTTCTCACGATGTTTTTTGAACATTACAGAATATCTCTTCTCGTGGGAACCACAACATGAAAAAAATATTAGAATTATGACACCTGTATGTGTCTTGAATGAAAATGATCGAAATGTTCATGTTTATTCTATGAAAAAAGATTGAGGTGAACTGTTTATATGTTTATATGATTTGAAGTAGACGGAGAAATTAAAAGTATATACATTATCCTGAGAAAACAACCTTTACTAATTTTGGAAAAAATGTATTGTGCAGATCTTTTTGAATCTTTATTTTTGTAACAATTTCATATCTAACGATGTTTCATTTGGGTCCTAAATGGTTAACACAATCTTTGAAAAATTCACTGTTCGGCTTATCGACTCCAATATGCATCTTAAATACAGCTCAAGTGTCATGACTATGATCGATACGAATCTTTATAAATTCATGATTTTGCAGGAAACAACATACTGTATGAATGAATAAACATCTAATATTCGAAATTTCCTCATCATATAGTGAATGAGTTGGATACAACCTCTCTCTTTCATGAATTATCTTCAATATATAATTTTGTTTAACATTTAAGGGCCTTAGTGCTGTGCCATACATGCCGCCTCATGTAGATTCCATACCATAGGATACATTCAACTAAACTGGAAGATAATATTATCAGCAGGCTTCAATATATAATTTTGTTTTACATTCAAGGGCCTTAGTGATGTGCCATACATGCCGCCTCATGTAGATTTCATACCATAGGATACATTCAACTAAACTGGAAGATAATATTATCAGCAGGCTTATACTGAGAAACTGCTCAAGAAGAAAAAAATTTATAGATCAAGAATCCGAGTTTCTCTAATATATACATTACATGATAGTCATATTTTGAGTTCTGGTCAATAATGATGCCAAACTATTTGGTAGTTCGAGTATCTTGTATATATTGCAGATGTTAGATTATCACACATGATTTCTTGGAAGTGAGGGCGATCTGCGGATGTTTCAGGGAAGGCAATATTGTTTGTTTTATTCACATCAAGTGACAATTTCTTTGTTATCTAACCAGTTTTTGACGTTTTTGATTCCTGCTATCGCAAGTCTCCTTATACCTCCACAGTCCTCATTACTGAAAGTTAGCAACTGATGTCATATCATTTCGCGAAATTGAGGTGTCGTTGAATTTTCTGATTTTGCGTACAGTCGTCGGCAAACTTGATACATTCTGATGGAACGATATTTCTGGTAGATCATCTATAAATAATGTGAACAGAAAAGGACCAAGACTTGAGCCCTGTGGCATACAGGATTTGACTCAGAAAGTAATAGTTATCTAAGTAATAGCAGCTTCCATATCAGCTGTCATCTGACACGTTTTCAGTTCATAAGAGTTAAACTTTCAACTTTCGCTCCTAGACACCAGAAGTGTTGCCTAGCAACATACGAACTAATCAATGTGATGTGTCATCAAGAGAAACGTCAACATCATTTTGAGCAACCATTGGCTTGGATAATAGCATCTACCTCGTTTCCAATGCGTGTATTGAAATTATTGTTTTTCCGTGAAGCAAGTTGACTAAAGAGATTGTTTTTCCACTTCAAATGAAGAATGATGGTATTGCATCTGAATATTCTTGATGTTATAAAGGTGAATTGGTATAGTAGTATAAGTAGAAACATGTCGTAATGAGAATAACTATAGAGACAATGTGTTGAGACAATTATACCCTTCTAAGGACATTTTACCCACCTCGAATCTTAAACTTAATCTCTGCTAATCCTTGATTATCTCTAAGCTCTCATATTGTGACGCTGTCTACGGCCCTGCACTTTTGCGGAATGATGCCTACAGATTACAGCGTATTCAGAATTCCTGCATACGATTTTCCTATGGTATTCGAAAATATGATCACATCAGTGCAAAGTTCAGAGAGTCCGGTTGGCTGAGACTGGAAAAATTGAGGGAACTCCATTTACTCACTTCAACCCATAAAGTAATTACCACATCTTCCCCAACTCATCTAGCTGCTAAACTGATCAGATTCAGAAACTATAACAATGCGAGAACACGAAACAAAAATACCTTGGTGATTCCAAAATACAAAACCAGTTTGTATAAACGAAGCTTCTCTTATACAGCCACTAAATGTTATAACTCTCTACCTACTGATTTTCATAATTATAATCTACTTAATTTCAAAAAGAAACTGAAAGCATTACTGAATGATGGATAGATATTTCGATGCATGATATAATATATATTCTACTTCGCATAGCTCAAGACTTTTCCGATTATCAAACTATCGATGGCAATTCTCTTTATAATATGTTCAATAGTACTATTGTATTCTATACCTTTTTTTCTCTTTATTCCTTCTTTTTCTTCAAGGGTTAAGTTGTAAAACAGCATCAGCTGACACTTCGCCTCTTCATCTTTGTACTACAATAATTATTTTTTATAAATTTAATGTACTGATATTGTTGCAAGATGAATAAAGACGATTTATTATTATTATTATTATACTGTCTGTAATCATGTAGATTATTCGTTTGTATCAACATTATGTCACTGAGGAGTGTCATCACTGTAATCCGAAGGCAATTTCCTATGTTTTGATTGACATTTCTCCTTCTTCTTTTCCAAAATTCAATTTTCTTTCGACTACTTTCCGAAACATACGTAGGATAGATCATCAATCTAATACTGTTGCAAGCTTTCATCAAAAAACAATTCTCAATCACGTAAATGTTCGAGAAGATATTATTCATCGCTCAAAAAGTTTTTCTTCAGACCCTCGGATGAAGTTATCCATCATACTCTCGATTTCAGGCTGAGCATCAACCCAGCTTTGCGCGAAAAGGCGATTATCATCTTCTTCAGATGGTCTGGAATTAATTGATTGATTTAAAAAGCCATCAAAATGTGTAATTCAATGATGAGATCCAGAGAAAATCTCAGACAGGATAATGAAAGTTCAAATGGATATACAGGGTGTGATTTAATTGATATACATATGGTTCCCTAGCTTATTTGAGAAAATAATGTTGATGTGAACCTCTCAACTTCTGATTCAAAGGGTGTCAAAATTTCAAGAAATAATTCGTTTTCTTATCATAACTTCAATTATATTCTGGATATTCTCATTAAATTTGATATGCACCAACTGAGCTCCGTGTGGTAGTTTATAGAGAAGATGTGTTTCTGTCTAATTTTGATTCGAATGAAGTCAATCGGTCAATTGATTGAATGAGCCAAAATGGTTTTTATTTTTCTACGCGGAACCTATGCGTGGAGTGGAAAAAATTCTGGAGGTCAAATTGTTGCGAAATGAATGAGGAATCAAGAAATGCTGTTCGTTTCCAGTAGATGCAAGTGGGTACCAGATTTTTTTAGGAAAATCTTCAATAAACATCCCACACAAACATCCCTGGAAAAACTATTCGAAAATCTCCTGCATCAAAAAATGACTATTGTTGCTTCATAGGTGTATGTCAAATTTTAACGAAATAACAAGAACAGTTTTGAGGTCCTAACGGTTTTTTCTTGGAATTTGACACCCCATAGGTCCAAAATTGATAGGTTCAGGGCATATCTTCATATGACCTATTTTTCTTATAATG